CTCCTCACAGGAAAGAAAACTCCAAACGTAAATTATCCATCCGCGAACCAAAAATGCCGTCTGCTTCTGTGTTCCATCATCATTTTATCACGTGTAGCAGTCTCATCAGCTGTGAAAGCAAATGAATCTGTCCAAGTACCATTACACGTTGTGTTTTCTTCAGAAACTTTTCTTTTCTTGGACTTATCCATCATTTACCTACCACGGGTCAAAAAGCTCAATAAATCATGGTACCGGTGTAGGTGCCGGTTAGTCGGGGCTGCCAGATCTGTGCCGGGTGTCGCACATTGGTGGCTTTGAACCATATTTTGAGCAACAAAAATATTAAAAAGGTTTTATCTGAATGTTACAAATTTAGATTTACATTTAAAAACTAACTAAATACTCATTATTTATTTTCCAAAGTCACAGGGAGCCACAACAGAAGGATGAAAGAGCCACATGCAGCTCTGGAGCCGCAGGTTGCCGACCCCTGGGTTAGACACTTCAGCCACATTGTCTATAGTATTAATGTGGTGTGTGCATGAATCACTGGTGTTGATCGGTAGTGGCTGCAGTAAAAAAGCTTTGCAGTGACGGTAAGACTATTAACAACAACTAGCATGTTAACATACACTTCCTGATTATTGGACAATAGAACGTGCTCTAATTTGATGCAGACAATACACAGCAGACTTATTTTGACCTCAAGAGCTGCTTATACAAAATATCTGTAGTGGGACAAGACATTTTTTTGCTTTAATACATGGAATAAAAATAGATACAGGTCGTTAAACATGAAATCAATAATGTAATTCCAAAACCCCAGTAAAACACCCAAACATACCCCAAAGAGATTCAAAGCTGGGACTCTCTCCTTGTAATGGTAAGTGCATGCATATTCACCAGCACAAGCAACACGATGTACTTGTAAACACATGTAGACAGCAGCTCTCCTCTTGAGACCAGTAATCTGTTTTCAAAAGGCATTACTCAACCAGACACGAGCTGACATGACAACTGACAGTACAGCTTAGGACTGTACAGACGCCGTGTTGACCCAAAGTAGAAGTGATGGATGGAAGCAAAAGGGAATGTTTTTAAAAGAGAAATCTGGCTTTGTAAAGATGTGGATTTCATCTTCTTTTTGCATAATTATGTTAAACTACAAACAGCGTCTAGCAAAAGCAATTTAAGAAATGGAGTGAGGAAAAAGGACAATATACCAAAATGTAAAAGGACATTTAAATAAGCACACGTATACAAAGGGAGTGGTAGTAGTTTGCAATGACACAGTGACCAGACCAGACTGTATAAAGAAGTAGACTAGAGGAGTAGGACTTCACCCATAGTCAAAATGAAGCTCATGTTACTAGCAGTTTTAAAAGCGAATTTGGAGCCAGGTCCATATTAGGAATAAAAACACCAGAATCAAGTAGAACGGATTAATATGAATATTTTAAGACTGAAATTGCCATCATTTTGGTCTTCAAAACAGCAGCAGTTACAGAGAGAAGGGTGACTGTTTTCCAATCTAAAGTCAACTGGAGCCAGAGTCGATGGAACCGGAAGCGCCTCCATGTACACTTCCTATTTGGAACACGACGGCTAGCGGCTTAACGATGTGTGTATTTATATATATAGTCTATGGCCCAAACTGAGACACAACTAAGGCTCCGTTCAGACTGCAGGGCTTAATGCCCAGTTCTGATTTTTTTGTGAAATCTGACTTTTTTTGCGAGGTTGTTCACATTTACAATTAAATGCGACTTGTGTGTGATCTCCACTGTGAACTTTAAACTGCCCAAAAGTGTCCCACGTGCTCATTGGAGGACACGATGACGTCACATGCAGCAAGCGTGTTCAGTGTTTATGGAAGTAGCCTAAAACCTGGGCTTGTCTCCCAAAATATGGTCCAGCTCTTCGTAAAATGGACAGGTTACACGTTCACAGCTGCTTCGTTTGTTTGAGACTTTAGCCTCCTTGTTTTTGGCTCGCAGGCTCTTTATTTTTTGTTGACACTGGAGCCAGGACCCTCTGTTGCCCCTCTGGACCATTTAAAAGAACACGTGGTTCTGATAAGACCCCTCCAATTCGGCCTGAATACAGCGATCCCCCCCAAATATTAATGAACTCACTAACCTCGCTTTCCCTCCATTGATGAGACTCTGAGCCTGACCTGTAGGTGGGATGAATGTGCTTTGGCTGTTCAGACTGAAGTCGCATGTCAAAAGATCGGATACGTATCGGTTTTAAGAGCACATATCCAAGTGGCCTGGGTCGCGTTTGAAAAAATATGATCTGTCATTAAAAGATCAGATACAGGTCACATAGGGGCGAAAAAATCTGATTTGGATCACTTCAGGCTGCAGTCTGAACATAGCCTTAATAATTGTCTTGTTCGGGGGGAGTGTACTTTCTGACTGTGCCACAACAATGCCACGATGTGATTTTTCTGATAGAAGTTTTGCCACGTCCTTGTTTCCACGGAGATGTTAATGCTTTGCCTGGAACGTTTCCAAGTTCAGCATAAACTTTTCAACAAATGGTGCTTTTATTGCTAAAAGAACACCTTGAAAAACATGCATTCTTGCTTGTGAGTGGGCTCGCCTCCCCACAGATCTGACCTGTAAGCTGTCAATGCGTCACCTGTTTAATGCCGAACTCTGGAACCGAAGCAAAGCCAGCAGGTGATGTACGCTCCACCAGAAAAGCTACACAATGCGGCTTTAGGTAAGTGAGTTACACAAATCTATGGAAGTGGAGCGATGCCAAAACATATGGATTTGTTCTCCTTTTTTCCCACTTCTCTTTCTGAAATGTTTAGGATGAAAAATAAAAATGAAATAAAGATGAAATACAATAAATTACCGGCATTTCCAAAACTTCTCAAACTGCTCTGAAACTTCTCCATTATGGCGGCGGTCTTGATAAATCACTCTTATGTTATACGGAGTGCGGCCATTTTTCAAACTTGTTCTTGTGCGAGACCCTAAATTCGACTTAATATAAAAATGTACAATGTGTCATGTGCTTTAGTGAGAAAACGGGGAAACAAGACCACTTAATGGGCCTTGTAATGTACCACTCCACATGAAGGCCAATTCAATTTAACTGCTCTCGATTAGATTTGAACGGCGCTATGGGGACCTGCGCTGCTTATAGAAACTACAAGACAGCCCCCTTCACTTTTATATGAACAAGAAAGGAAAGTTCAGCAAGTAGTCAAGTCCTGTTTTGACTCTCACCAAGAAAGATTGAACAGTCGGAGGCACGGCATAAAGTGGTGCGTTTGATTTATGGTTCCCAGCGATGATTTAAAAGACCAAAAATCAATGCGTGGCTACTAAGTGGTCACGTAATGTAATTATGGTGCGTTTTACTGGTATTGAGTCACGTCGCAGGATGTACATGTTCTGAGTGGCTTTGTATAGAATGGCATTAGATTCAATCGAACACAAAAATGTCTCCAGTTGTGTTGTCCTCTAGACCAATTCTTTGCATTTTATTGTTTTTTTTTCTTAAGGGATGGGTGATGTATCGTAAAAGTCCGTCTAAGGATGGACATTGGACATGAGATTACTCTTCTTTCTGCTCCTTTTCATTAATTTCTTGTATGTTTTTGGATGTTGTGCCACTGTTGATGTATTTTTATAATATATGAATGAAATAAATAAACAAATAAAAAAAATAAAACATTGCAAATTAGGCTTGGTTATAAATGTTGCAGTATGTTACACGTAGGGTCGGGCGATATGTCGATATTTAAAATATATCAAGATATTTTTTAAACACGAAATGGATTCTGACATATCGTAAAAATCAATATAATGCTTATATTTAATTATATTAGGGAGTGCTTTTAGTTTATGTAAATTAGTCCATGTGGATTTAATTTTAGTTTCTGTAAAATTTAAACAAATTTGCGCACAACTGCATTAAACACATTATAATCTCAAACGAGCTGGTGTTAATTTGTGAAGATGTGTTTTTAGGGCCTGGATTTTAAAAGTGAAAAGCTTAGTTGCTCAAGTCATATTTGAATGTTTTTGGAAAACAAGAAAAAACAATCACATTGGTATTTTTTATCGATATTGTGAAGAAATGACTAAGGCAGACAGTGATTTTGGGCTACGTTCAGACTGCAGCCTGAAGTGACCCAAATCAGATTTTTTGGCCCCTATGTGACCTGTATCTGATCTTTTAATGACAGTCTGATTGACACAGATCCGATTTTTTCAAATGCGACCCAGGCCACTTGGATATGTGGTCCTGAAACCAATATATATCCGATCTTTTGACATGCGACTTCAGTCTGAACGGCCAAAGCGCATTCATCCAACCTACACATTATCAACAAGCGATAAACGTCACTATTCTGCGCTGAAGTAGGCGAAAATTGTTAATGAACTCCATGTCACTGAAGCGAAGCACATCACCACTCACCACTCTTGGCTACGTCTCCACATTCACACGTTTCTTTCAACGGACGTTGCTGCCGCTGCCCCACAAAACGCCACGGCCAAAAACCTCGTCCTTCTCCTTCTCAATCTTCTCCTTAAAACAAGTAAGTTGTTCATGTTCTGGCTCTGGTACGAGAGGAACTTTAAAATCTCCAGGTGCTCAATGCTCGCGTCCATGTTTGGACAACTTCCGTAAACACAGAGCACGCTCACTGCGGTTGACGTCATCGTGTCTCCAGTGCACATGTGGGACACTTTTGTGCCGTTTAATGTTCACACTGGAGTCACATACAAGTTGCATTTAAATGGAAACGTGAACGACCTCGCAAAAACATAGGATTTCACAAAAAAATCCAAATTGAGCATTAAGCCCTGCAGTCTGATTGTAGTCATAGACTTTAACAAGTGTTCTGATAGGCTGAGGACATAGGCAATAAGGCAGGGTGATGCAGCAGTGATAGGAGAGTAAAGATATCACAATTTGGCCAAAAAATGGGCAATTAACTTGGGCAATTATGCTATTAGGCTAACGAAATATAATATTTTCTGCTGTCTTACCGGAGAAGAGGCTGGAAAATCACAGTTATGTTCCTTGCCCCTGGTTTACAGACGAACTTCATCTCTCCACCTTCGATCAGGTTGTCGTCAGCACCACCTGGAAAATACAGATCAATAGTTTTCAAGTTAACAGCTCCTTTTAACTTTAGTTCAGCAGTAGGGATGTAACAATAACCGAAATATCGTGATGTTGTATCGTCAAAGTTCTCACAATAATATCAAATTACAAGTCTCTTTGCTTAAATTAAGAGTTATGGGGCAGCAACAGCTAAAAAAAAGACAGAGAACTACATAGACCATGATCCTTTGCTCCATTTCAGTGCAGACTACAAGAAGAAATAACAGTTCTAAGCACTTTTAAGTCTTAGTTCTTTGGATTAAGTCTTTTTTTAAGGGTAAAAGTAGCATATTCACAAAATATCGCAATAAATATCATACCGTGAGAAGTAAATCGTGAAAATATCGTACCGAGAGATTTGGATATTGTTACATTCCTAGTCGTGAGCCACATAAGATGCAGAGTCTGTGTGTTTAACAGGTGTGAATGAAACAAAACACAACTCCAGATGTGTTTTTGATGAGAAAACAACATTATAATCATCATAAAAAGAAAAAGCACCTGTCCTACACAATGGAACAAACACAGATTTCACTCATACATCGTCCATAAACCAATCCCAGAGCTCCGGAGAAGATGAACTCACCGACAAAAGGGTTAATCAGAAAATCATTGTCATGTAACCCGCTCTGAAACCCAAGCGCCAAGACGGGGAGGAGGACTTTGTGAAGGAGGAGCAGCCAAGAGGGGGCACAGGACAGACCAAGAACAGCCAAGCTCATTACCTCCATTCAACCTGAAGTAATCCATATAATTGACAAGCACCAAATTGCACCATATTGTCAATACAGATGTCCATGTGCGTAGACGTGTGAATAAGAAGGGTGTAATGAAATGTATATGATATGTAGGGGTGGTACGTGAAAAGTAAAAGCTGTAAAGTACTGTATTTAAAGGTGTATTGTGTAACTTTGCTGGTGGAGGGTCCGTCAAATGCTTTTCTTCATGGAGATGTTATTGCTTTGTCTGGAATATTTTACAGTATGGTATGGTATTTTCTTAGTATTTTTATTAATTTTGTGACAAATACAAGACAAAAAAAACCCAACAACAACAAAACAGAAAACTAATGATACAAGCACTAACACAAAATATAAATAAGTGAGTACAGACTGACACATGCATTTGGACGGAATTAAAACTTCATGAGCACCGAACTAGACCAAGTTTCGGGTCAGATCTGTGGAGAGGCGACCCCTTTCTAGGTATTTTTGAGCTATAAAACCACCTGTAATTGAATAAATATAAGGTAGAGCTGTTTAATGTCACACTGTGGAACATTCCAGGCATCTCAATAGAAACAAGCAGGTGATGGACCCCCAACCAGAAAGTTAAGCGTTCACCTTTAAGTACAATTTTTAGGTGCCATATGAACCATCTCGCACTCTGAGGAGCTCATGGACCGGCCTCCTGCTGGTGTCCAGAGTCAAGACTAAACACGGGGAGTCAAAGTTTCAGATTCATGCTGCTAAAACCTGGAACAGTCGTCCTGAAGATGTGAGACAGACCTCGACTTTGACTGTTTAAATCCAGGCTCAAAACTGTTCTGTTTAGCTGCGTATGACTGAAAGGTTTTCATTTTTAATTCGATACTCTTCTCTCTAATTTAATGTCTCTCTCTTTTTAATTTTATGATGATTATTTATGTTTTGATTTGTTTTGATTGTGATTTTAATGTATTTCTTATTCTGTAAAGCACTTTGAATTACTTTGTGTACGAACTGTGCTATACAATACAATAAACTTGCCTTGCCTTGGTATCTGTACTTTACTTGGTGGACTAAGTGGATATTTACTTTTACTTCACTACATTTGAGAGTATGTATGTATCTGTACTTTCTACTCCACCACACTTTTAAACAGGACTGAAAAGTAAAAGGAATTTTTATTATTATTGTCTGAGACTCACTGAAAAGTCTGAGGGTTTATTTTTATAAAGTTTGAGGAAACAAAAATATACAAATAAAAACAGCTCGGGAAAAAAACAAACCAGTTGTTTGATCAGTTGTTTCTGTTGAACAAAATTCAGCAATTAAGTTTTATTAGACCTTCAAATCTGCACGAAATACTTTTACTTTTTACTCTTTAAGTACATTTTTAAACAGGTACTTTAATACATTTAGACCTTTTTATGTGACACTTTTACTTGAGCATTTTCTTGCTCCTGTATCTGTACTTTTACTTAAAGGTGTGTAAAGGCCGCGCCAGTGATTTGTCTCCAAGGAGATGTTATTGCTTTAATTGAATAAATACATCTTATTTAGTTAGTTTAATACCATATTTTGGAACATTAGTAGCAAACATATCGTCTCCATGCAGTGTTGGGAAGGTTACTTTTAAAATGTATTCCCCTACAGATTACAGATTACATACACCAAAATGTAGTTTGTAACTTAATCCATTGAATTACTTAAAGTGAGTAACGTAATCTGAATAGTTTGGATTACTTGATATTGTCATGCTTTTTAAAACTACATGAATGTAGCAAGACATCCTGAAAATTCTTGTTTGTTCTCTTCAAATTGGCCCTGGTTTAGACCTGGTTTATTTCTGGATTAGTCTTGGTTTAGTCCTGGTTTAGACCTGGTTTAGTCCTGGTTTAGACCTGGTTTAGTCCTGGTTTAGTCCTGGTTTAGACCTGTTTAGTCCTGGTTTAGTCCTGGTTTAGTCCTGGTTTAGTCCTGGTTTAGTCCTGGTTTAGTCCTGGTTTAGTCCTGGTTTAGTCCTGTTTTTAGTCCTGGTTTAGTCCTGGTTTAGTCCTGGTTTTAGTCCTGGTTTAGATCTGGTTTAGTCCTGTTTTTAGTCCTGGTTTAGACCTGGTTTAGACCTGGTTTAGACCTGGTTTAGTCCTACTTTAGACCTGGATTAGACCTGGTTTAGCCCTACTTTAGACCTGGTTTAGTCCTGGTTTAGTTCTGGTTTAGTCCTGGTTTAGTCCTGGTTTAGTCCTGGTTTAGTCCTGGTTTAGTCCTGGTTTTCGTCCTGGTTTTCGTCCTGGTTTTAGTCCTGGGTTTAGTCCTGGTTAAGTCCTGGTTTAGTCCTGGTTTAGTCCTGGTTTAGTCCTGGTTTAGTCCTGGTTTAGTGTCCAGCAATGAGTGGAATTACCGAAAAAAAAAAAAGAAAAAGAGAAAAAAAAGAGATATTTAGCCCAAAATGTGAAAACAGGAAAATACCGCCATGTAATCCATTTACTTCAACAAAGTAACTGTAATCCAATTACCACTCACTGAAACAGTAACTGTAACTGAATACAGTTACTCATAATTTGTACTCTGATTACGTAACTCCGGTACATGTAATCTGTTACTCCCCAACACTGTCTCCATGGTAACAAACGGGACCCCTACTGTGAAAAGTTACACAGTGCACCTTTAAGTAACAAAAATCGAGTACTTCTTCCTTCACTGACGAAAAGGAAACCACCCAGTGAATCCAAACGCGGCGCGGTGGAGCAGTGGTGCTGAAGAAGAGACAATAAAATTCATTATTTGACTGCCCTGATGTAGTTCTATGATAGAGTTTCATGGCGGGCGCTAAGCAACAATACGACCAGGAGCGTGGAAAATCAGATAATGCAGTAAATACCTATCTACAATCAAACCAACACTGGAACACAATAAAAGTGCGCACGGGCAAATCTTCATAAAAAGTTTCATATCTTTATGATGGGGCAAACACACGGCTGTAGTGTTATGTTGTGGCGGTAGTAGGACGCTTAGCAACACATGAAGTCACTGCAAAAAATGTTGTTGACGGCAAATATTTAATTACTTGTTTAGATTTTTAATGTACTTTCAAGCTAAATTATCTGTCTGTTTTTGGTTTGTTTTTTGTTTTTTCCTGTATATAAGCACATTTAAAGTAGTCCATGGTTTCAAAAATCCCAAAATTTCCTTCTTGTCACTACGGAAATGTTATTCTTTGCCTTTATTTAAACTTATCTCCTTTGAGACAATCAGAAAATGCAAAGTTATAGGTCAGATCTGTGGAGAGGCAGCCCTGCTCACAGTAAAAAACAACAAGAAATGACTAAAAATGACTAAACCAGAGCTGAAATAGGACTGAACCAGGACTAAACTAGGACTAAACCAGAGCTGAACCAGGACTGAACCACATCTAAGCCAGGACTAAAGCAGAACTAAACTAGGACCAAACCAGGACCAAACCAGGACTAAACCAGACCTGAACTAGGACTGAACTAGGACTGAACCAGAGCTGAACCAGAGCTGAACCAGGACTGAACCACATCTAAGCCAGGACTAAAGCAGAACTAAACTAGGACCAAACCAGGACCAAACCAGGACTAAACCAGGAGTAAACCAGGACTAAACCAGAACTAAACCAGGAGTAAACCAGCTCTAAACCAGGACTAAACCAGACCTGAACTAGGACTGAACCACATCTAAGCCAGGACTAAAGCAGAACTAAACTAGGACCAAACCAGGACTAAACCAGACCTGAACTAGGACTGAACTAGGACTGAACCAGAGCTGAACCAGAGCTGAACCAGGATTGAACAACATCTAAGCCAGGACTAAAGCAGAACTAAACTAGGACCAAACCAGGACCAAACCAGGACTAAACCAGGAGTAAACCAGGACTAAACCAGAACTAAACCAGGACTAAACCAGGACTAAACCAGACCTGAACTAGGACTGAACCACATCTAAGCCAGGACTAAAGCAGAACTAAACTAGGACCAAACCAGGACTAAACCAGACCTGAACTAGGACTGAACCAGATCTAATTCAGGACTAAACCAGGACCAAACCAGGACTAAACCAGGACTAAACCAGCTCTAAACCAGAACTAAACCAGGACTAAACCAGACCTGAACCAGGACTGAACCCGGACTGAACCCAGACTGAACCAGATCTAAGCCAGAACTAAACCAGGACTAAACCAGGACCAAACCAGGACTAATCTTGAACTAGGACTTGGAATCGAGGACCACACCTGGGAGAACCTCAAGCCCGTGG